CCAAGGCAGGCTGCCAGGCCACCGCAGCAGCCAAGGCAGGCCATGCCAGGCCACTGCAGCAGCCAAGGCAGGCCATGCCAGGCCACTGCAGCAGCCCAGCACATCATGCACGTGATGCATGTGATTTTTGTGCATTTCGGTCAATTTGGTGATTTTCAGTGAATTTCGGTGATATTAGTGCGTGCTTTTCAGTGTTGTGATACTCGTGATAATGTTTGTTGGTTTTTTTTTTTTTGTCTCTAAAGTTTTGCAAGGTTCAAAAGGAAGGCCCGTTAACAAGGAAGGAAGTTAATGAAGTTCGCGACTTGTGGGCTTTTTTTGTCACATTTGATGGCATCTAGAATCGCTGTATATATTAGCGGTTATATTGGTTTGTTAGCTTTACTTTTCATTATTAATTACATATTATTATCAACATTATTTTAATTAAGTATGTAATAGTATGTAATTAGAAATGATGGTGTAATTAAATATTGTTATTCATTAAATATATTAATGGTGTTACTTTTTATGTATGTAATTATTTTGTGTTGTATTATTTTGTAACTAATATTAATATTATTATTAATTAATAATATTAATTAATAATAATAAATTTTTATCGATTAACAAAATTATTTTAATACTAATATTGAAATTATTGTGAAATGTCACTAATGTCTAATATATAATATTATTAGTAATTAATTCTAAAAGTAAAAAAATAAAAAATAAAAAAAAACCTACAATTGGAAGCGGTTTGGCGCCAAAACCGCTTCCAATTGTAGGTTTTTTTTTTAAGAAAATGGGATTTGGAAGCGGTTTGGCGCCAAACCGCCTCCAATTCCCCCCTATTTGGAAGCGGTTTGAACCGCTTCTAATTGTCACTGACAATGGCAAGCCTCCCAAACCGGAGCGGTTCAAAACCGCTTCCAATTAGGGGGTTTGAACCGCTTCTAAATTAGTTTATTCTACTAGTGAAACTTGGCAAAACTAATAAAGCGCTACGATCCAATAGTGGTGGCGAGTATTTGAGCCAAGATTCAATGATCATCTAAGAGATTGTTGAATTCTTTCACAATTAACTCCTCCTGGAACACCACAATTAAACGGTGTGTCAGAAAGGAGAAATCGAACATTGTTCGAGGTTTGATCCATGATGAAAGTTTGAGTCAAGGTAATTACTTGGAAAGATATTCAAACATTGCGATATATCGTAATAATAAGAATTTGAGCCAAGACCTTGATGAACATCCAAGAGTTATGAAATTGTTTTACAGCAAACTCCAAAGTAAAACCTTGTGAAGAGTTTGAGAAAGGAGCTATCAATCTATATGAGATATAATTTGATATCGGATGAAAATTACCTATATTTCAACTATTATTCAAGGGATATACTTTTAAGATGAGCTACAATACTAAACAATACTACATACATCAAATCAAAATGTAGCAAAGACTTCATATGTGATATGGATAAGAAAAGTTCTTATAAAGTCCTTCTACAAAACAAGGGATAAAAGCTGTATTAAATTGTTTAATTCATGCTCGATTCCAATATAAAGCACGAGATGCTACTACACAAGTCATACTTAGCACAAAATGTTTGTTGCTCAAGTAGGTGCCCTTATGGAAAAGATGTTACTTCTAAAAGGTCAAGTGGGATTATTATAAATCTCGAAAGAGTTTGAGAAAAGCAATAAACAAACATGGTTCAAATCATGATTGGTTCACCCTATGATAATGTGCCTCTTCAAAAAGCAAGTGGGAGTATATGAATCTTGAAAGAGTTCGAGAGCCTAGAAAAGTTAGTTTGAGAATCTCGAAGAAGTTCTAGAAGTACTAGAATAAAAACAACAATACGAGCATGATTCACCTCATGTTACAATGACAACACGTGGTCCCATTAAGTGTAATGGAAATTATAACCATGTGTAGGAGGTAGTATATTCCCTGTGCACACCCTCTATTGTCGTTTCTCATTGAAAATTAAGCAACTTGTTGTATAAGTTTCAATTGTTGCATAAAAACCCACAATAAAGACTAGCATATCTTAAACTTAACCAAAGAAATATGATTTCATTTTGACTAAGAGTTCTGAAATATTGATTTTGGAACATAATGATCATGAAAGTAATAAACATGATTTGACAAGCCATAACTTCAATTGGTTTAAAAACCATGGATATCTAAAATAGATTTCAAGTCTACAAGCAAGTGTGTGATACTTAAATAATTTGCCAAATTAGGTAAGACTCATTGTAAGCAAAAACGGACAAGGAAGAAAAATGTTTTCTAAGCAAAGCAAAGACTTATTGTTAAAGAATTCATCTAATTCATAGTATGACTATGATGAAACTTTTACATTAATCATTTTGCTAATATCTATTAAACATATTTCTAGTGATTTCTACTTTATGAGATTTGGTAAATGGATTTTAGAAACACTTTCTTGAAATTGTTCATGAAAGAAGATTTGTATGTGATACAATCAGAATGATTTTGAAAATCCAATAATCCTAAGGATGCATAAAAGTCCATTCGTGAATTGAAGTAAGCACCATGGAGTTAGAATCTTCAATTTAATGAGTTAATCAAATCAGTTGATATTCTCATAAATGAAGGTATTGTGTATACAAGATCTTTAGTGGGAGCCATACAGTCTTCTTGGTCTAGTATGTAGATGACATATTCCTTACAAAGAGTGATTATTCCATGTTTGAAGAGTCAAGTGATGACTAATACATTTTGTATGAAAAAACCTTGAAGAGGAAGATGAGTACATTTGGTAATCTAGATCTATAGAGATAGGTATCGAAGGATGTTTAAGCTTAATTAAGAAACTTATATTGATAAGATTCTTATGAGGTTCAACATTATATTGAAAGAGTTTCAATCCCATATAACATGGCACATTTCTTAACAAGATTCAATGCTTTGAAAAAGATTGATGAAATTAAAGGTTTGAGTAATGCTCCTTGTGTATTTTGCAAAGGATGCATCAAGCATGTCATGGACTATACTCGTCTATTTGATTCACATGTTTTAAGAATATGTGGTGATAGAATTCAATCAAAAACCAATGTAACATTGGAATACAATTTAGAAAATCCTAAATTCCTTGCGAAAGGATGAAGGAAGATTCCTGGTGTATGAAGATGAATATTATTATAAAATTTAGAAGTTGCAAAATTCATGTTTATGAGAATGTCTCATGAATTGTATTAACTAAACTATTTCAATAGCCTAAAGACACAAAAGACTCATTTGAAATGACATGATGGTGGATGGTTTTGGTTGTGTGCTAGGGAGTCATAATTGCAAAATCATCAGTCATGTATAATACAATTATGATAATATTATTCCAAATCTTATATATTATCTTTACATAAAATGTACGGAGTATTTCTTTTTATTTCGTGTTCTTAATTATATTCTTCTATACACATTTACCTAAAATATTTTCGTTGGTTGATTAATATTTTCATGTTTATTAAAAGACATTTATAAATTAGTCTTTAGTCATATAGTCACTAGATTGTATAATTTTATTGGGAATAATATGCATCATTAATGTAATATAATGTATATATACTACTTTAAAATATTTTCAACACAACTAATAAAAAATATATAATTTTTTTCTCAATTGTAGTTTTTATAAATTTTGCCTTATTATTTTGTTTTTCTATATGTATTACATTTGTTTATTCCACATGAGTTGCCTCATTTTTATATTATATCACAATTAATTATGGGAACACCGTGCATCGCTCGGGCACTAATCTAGTTATAAATAAAATAAAGAGGGGTGAAGCATGAGCATAACATAAAATTTCAAAATTAAAAAAATAAACAATTTTTTTAAGTACCTTAAGTTTGGAGCTTCATATCCTGCAAAGACAAATGCAAATGAAAGTAGAAGGATTAGACATTATGATAGCTACAAAAAAACCTAATACTAAAAATCCGAAACTAAATACACATTACAAGTACTTTGGTTTTTTGTAAGACATACAACATTTTGACTTTTACATTAGTCATCGGAAGAAGATAGTTTGAACTTTGAAGAAAGAAAGATGAATTTAAAAATGAGTAACTTGCCAAAAAAAGTCAGATGAGGAGAATAGCAAGATTAGAATGAGAAGTGCCAGTGACATATGATTTTAGACCAACAATATTTTCAACATGCCCAATTCCACTCTTTGGGTTCAAACTTGGGAGATTCTTGCAGCATTGTGTCCCTATCATTTTCAATTTTTTTTTTTTTTTTTTTTTTTTAACAGAAACTTGAATTAGAGCTGGATGAACTTGGCCCTTTTTTTTTTTTTTTTTTTTAACAAAACCGACCCCAAGTTATCTAAGGAGTAGTACGTAGCTTTTATTTAATTAATATTAATAGCAATATAACATTGTTATTTATGTAATAATCCGTAGCAATTACATTCTCAACTTTTAAAGGACTCTTTCCCACCAAAATTCTTGTCGAGTACGGATGAAGTATTCAAGAGGATTGAGACTAGCAGCAATGTGTGCTGACACATTTGTTTTTCTAAGCACATGATTGAATATAACACCATCAAATAAGTTAACCAAGTACAAGCCATAACAAACACGCTGCTTGCACGTTGCATCCATTTAAGTTGCACACTGCTATTCTTCTTTGTTGGAAATAAGAAAGCAAATAAATAGAGGATAGATCTTTAAAGAAACTAATGCTTTCTAATTCATTCAACAATGGAAAGTTAGGTTTTAGTTACTTACTAGGAAATGGGTACTCCACGTTATACTCAAACTAAATAGTCAAATCTTAGTTAACAAGTCCGCTAACAATTAGTTAACACATGATTTAATTAATTTGACCAATTCTAAACAAACTAGGATATTTATCCTAAAACTAAGGAAGCTAATTAACCACTAACTTGAAGCACTAACTTCCAACATTCTTGACCAACGTACTCCTTGGCTGTACTCTTCTATCTGCTGTAATTGTCAGCATGTATTAAGTTGCACGAACTTAGAGAGAGAGAGAGAGAGAGAGAGAGAGAAGAACTATCACTTACATACTGTTAGAGTATATACTATCCAACAAGAATACCAAAGGGATTTAACAAACAATAGTCATCACATAAAATTGATTATTCTTGAATACAATGTTATAGATCATGATCATAGTATTTGATACATCCCCATTAACTATGACATATTAATATCTTTTACTTGATGTATTTCTTAAACCAATTCAGCATATCCTTGTGAGCTTCTTCAGCAGACTTGACAGCAGCAGCATCTTCAGGATCATATCTCACTGTCCACCCATGCGCAACTCCAGGAAATATTTTCACATATCCATCCACCTATTAAGTATAAACAACCGACTTACATAAGATTTATGTACAACATTAACACTATGTTTGGATAGAGAGAAATGAAGGGAAAGGAAGAGAAGAGAAAAAGAGAGTTGCATCATTCTTTGTTTGGATATCTAATGCAAGGAGGGAAGAGGAGGGAATCGGAAGGATCCATAACCCTTCCTCTTTTTATAAATCAAATCCCTTCATTGTTGGAGAAATTTGAAAGGAAAATTGAGATTCACCTTCTCCCTCTCCTCACCTCCGTTTCCCTTCCCTCTTTTTCCTTCCCCTCCCTTTCCCTTCACTATTGTTATCCAAACATAGTGTAAGTAAATTTCCCTTCCTGAACCCCCTTTTTTTTTTTACCCGAGCCAGATATTATCATCTCTTCTCCGAAACTAAAGAAGTTTAGCAAATTATTGAGGATCTAGTTTTCATTTAGATAGTATACTTTTTCACTACGGAGATTATTGTTAACTCAATAAAAGAGCATGCTTAACATTGAAGTATGATAATCGACATACCTTAGGGCGCTTAGCATTCAAGGCCTCCTCAAACTGCTTCAGGAGCTCAGGTGGAGATACTTGGTCGAGCTCAGCCCCAAGAACAGCAATTGGTACCTTCACAGCTGTCATAGTTCACAAATAAGATTGTAAGTACTATGCAATGAAACTATTAGAGCCACCTTGGCAACTGGTAATAACTCTGGCAAGGATCAACTAGTGAACACACTTTTGGAAATAGACATGGCTTTTGCTGATTCAAAAATACATATGTGTGTTCGTACGTGTGTATAAATGAGCAGGCCGGCTAGAGGGCTTCATTCGAGCAGGATAAGAATGAAGGATGAGTGTGGACCTCAAAGCTCCATCTTTCAAACTAAGGTACATAATATAATTCCATTGATGGAAAATCTATTTTCTACAATAAGTACTATAATTTTGAAGAGTACACAACTATACTAATTGTAACATACCGAAAGTGCAAGTACATAATCCTGCCATCCTTCATCACAAAAAAAGGTAGACAATGTAAACAAAGGTGCATTGCGCCATAAACAAATCAAAACAATTGTTACAAATCTATATAAATTAGGCATCCATTATTTTACCTTTGATATCATCCACAGTGACTGCTGAAGGATGTAAGAGAACGGTTGCTTGTATATATTCATCACTTTGTGCTAGTAGCGCAGCCACTTTGCCTGAATCGAGCAAATTAAATGATGAAAATTATAGTACAAATATTTATAAAAGGCAAATGAGCAATAGTATATGTTAGCATGACTTAGCACATCTAGTTGCAATATATTAGTCAAATATATAGAGAAAAAAGAATGAAACCTTACCTCCCCAACAGAAGCCAGCTGCTCCAATTTTACATATATCTTTCTGCTTCAAAGACTCAATCACCCGCTTTGCCTCTTCGTATCCTTTGTCCTGTAAGAAATGAATTCATATGCACAGATAATATCAAATTCATAAACAGTTACATACAAAATTAATGTCATTCATTTTAACCGCTAAAGATAACAAACACAAACTTACTGCTCCATGGTCTTTTATCCAAACTTGTAGAGGTCTGTCAGGGTTATCAGGATTGTAGGGATCTCCATGGAAAAAATCAGGGACAACTACGTAATAACCAGCAGCAGCAACTTTGTCTGCGAGTTTCCTGTATGTAGTAGTACAGTACGTTGTTGATCATGTCAATGTTTAATGGTGCAAATAGCGCAACATAAGGATTAGTAAATTACTATCAATTATATCAATGTTCTGCAAAGGGGGACAATGAAAACTCTCTCTTATTTATTTTCTTCCCTACAGAAAATTGTTCAAAAGAATGACACAAGAAGAAATTGTTCATAGGTCTAGGATTCAAATCCTATCAAGTGAGAGTTGGGGATCGATCCCCTTAAATTATCTCCACATTTATTTTCAAGTATGTGACCCGTCAAAAGTGGACCAAAAAAACCGTAAGGCCTGAAATTTGATAGACACTCTTTACCTTATAGTAGAAGAGTATTGTTTCGACCATTAGCGACACTAACTGTCTAACTTTATCTCCCAATTCCGTCCTAAACTAAACTATATTAACTTAACAATTAATGTAAAAAAAAAAAAAAAAAAAAAAAATTTCCTAGTAATCTTTGGATTAACATCTTGTCATAGCAGTATAGCACGCCATTGAATCTTAATTATTATTGCACTTTTTAATACCTTAAGATTGGAGCTTCATATCCTGCAAAGACAGATATAAATGCAAAGAGAATGATCAGTCATTTTGATTACCACACAATAGTAATAAGAAAACGGAAAACTGTAAACTAAAAACCGCTATGTAATAATGTTACCTCTTTTTTTTTTTTTTTAATACACACCATATTTTGACTTTTTACTTTAGTCAACTAACAACTTTGACAAAGAAAATAGTTTGAGGAAAGAAATTAAAATTGATTAATAATTCAAGTTATCAATGGAAAGGAAGTTTAAAATTTATGGGTAAAAAAACCTTACCAAAAATATCGGAGATGAGGAGAATAGCATGGTGATGATGAGATGAGCCAGAGACATATGAATTGAGGCCACCAATAACTTCAACATGCCCAACTCCGCTGTTTGGGTTCAATTTTGGGGCATTCTTGCAACATTGTGGCCCTGCTATTTTCAAATTTCTTTAATAAAATTTGGTTAAGCATAAACTGGAGAGAAATTCAGACTTTGAGTACTTCGTATATAGAGCATTGCAAGCTGTGGGGGGTTACAGCCACAGGTAATGATGACAATACTAAATGGATATCCGCTAATCCGTTTCATTCGCTTTAAATAAATGGATGAAAATCTGAATTGAATGGATGAGAAGCGGGTGACGGATGAAGTGGGTGAAGGATCGGATCGGATATGAATGATACTTACTTCACCCGTTAACCATCCACTCACCCGTTTAACATATATTAAATTTTTTATTTATAAATTTTTAATAATAAAAAATAAAATGCGCAAGAAAACTACTTATCTTTGTGGTGCAAGTTAATTTTTTCAAAGAATACGTTGTTATGATTTTCCTTTTTATTATTAAAATAGAATTTTACTGTATAAATAACCGAAAATTAGAATTTATGTGGATTTTTTTTCACTTTAATTAGTCATCCGCTCCACCTGTTTCATCCTCGAATAATGGACGAACGGATAGGGATGGTGAGTGAAGCGGGTGACGGATGGATGTGGATGGAGCAATTGGAATAGTATATGGATGCGGGGTGAAACTCCACCCAATCCAAATCCGATTCATTGTCATCTCTAGCCACAAGGCTACAAGAGCTAAGAACAACAAAGACCTAGTGCAACTTAAGCGACATTAGTTGAAAGTTGACTTTTTCCCTTTATTCCCTTTACACCTATCACCACATGTAGAGGTGTCAATTTTAATGTCGGGGTTCAGTTTGATAAAATCGGATCAAGTCGAATCTATTTTTAAATTTGAATATGTTAAATTATTTTATTCGAACAAGTTGATATCTTAAATTAATATTTTTCGGATCGGCTTTGAATCGGGTAGTCGGTAGGATTTTGACACCTCTTAACAGGCTCACAGTGCACATGTCCACATGTTAACATGTACTTCTTCCGTTCTTTTTTACTTGACCCACTTTGACTTATATACTATTTACTACCCCTCCTTTGACCGTGTTTTGTGAATAATATGCAAGGAAAAATATATTCATGTGGGATCTTGTTAAATCGTCTCAATAAGTACTATCACAATATATAACTTTTATAATTTTTACTTATAAAGAAATAAAGTTATTGATGGTTAAATTTGTGCATCGACAAGCGTGATAAAAGAAACAGGTTAAAAAAAAAAAAAAAAGAGAGAGAGAGAGAGAGGAAGTATAAGCCAGCAAATGGCTGCAAACTGATTATGAGCTACTAAACTGATCATTACAACATTATATGTACATGTGCGAAATAAAGGGAAATATGTACGAAATATATAGGTTATTGTAAAATATTTATCATCTGTTTAAATAGTTAAGTCAGCACGAGCTTTAGTGCTTTACTGTATAATAAATGGGCAAGATGTTAAAATTGTTAGTCCAAAAATGACACGATAATACCCATCTAGATCAATATTTTAGGACAATATAATGGCATGAACTATCATAATTTGAATTAAATATTCAAATATTTAGTATACTACCTAAACATGAATTGATACAACAATATAAAAATTTAGCATACAAAAATTAATCTATCTATCATTAAAAGTTTCTCGACAAAATGTTTAAGTAAAGAGGTTGGAATATTGCCAAGAGTTTCCACACAATTATTAAATGAGTAAAGTTAGTGTTAAGGACTCATGACATGTTTATTCACTTAAGATGATCACAAATTTGACACAACACATCCTGTTTGACAACCAACTATAATATTGTAAGAAGTATTAGATATTCCGTCTATCCCATAATAGCATGAAAATCAATGAGGATTGTTGTCCTCTTAGCTCTCCTTTTTTGTACTTAATACAATCCTCATTGATGTTGAAATTGCTAAAAGTATCCTTTTAGCAAAAGGAGAATACCAATTCCTCGATTGAAAACTTTAGCTTGTGTGCCAATTTTTATTTTTAATATTAAAACATACGCACAATAACTAAATATATTTAGGAAATTTTGTCAAAATAAGCCAACTTTTGTGCGATTAGCTTAAAATAAGTCAACTTTTTTAATAACTTATAATAAGTTAACTTTTATAAGGTACTATTTTTAAATGAGTTAAATAACCTACAAACTGCACAACAAGTTAATTTTTTAAAAATATTAATTTTACCATCCTCACAAACTAGAACGTTTCCAGCCACCACCTTTAATCCACCCGACCACCACAGCCCCTCACCACCTTTGCCAGCCACCACCTTCAAGTTGTCGTTCGCCATTCCACCATCCCTTGTAAATCCACTAACTACCAGCCCACCCTAAATTGACTCTCGATAATAAAAAATAAAAGCAAAAAAAAAAAAAAAAAAAAAAAAAAAAAAAAAAAAAAAACAACCCGACCACATCCCTTCGTAATATAAATTTACTAGCCACCATTCTCCTCTTCTATTGCAACCGCCACCCACTACGACTATACTTCACTTTCACCACCTGTCTACCTCCCTCCACCTTCCCTTCTTCTTCTTTCACCCACCATCACCCCCTCAACATTGAATTAAAAAGCGCTTCTCATAATCTCTTAAATCAATCTTGCAAATCATAGATTTGAACAATATAATCACCAACCTTTTTTAGCCAATTTTAGTATTGAATAATCAACCATTAATTTGCCAAACATTCACAATTATAACAGAGATACAAAAATCATAAAAGAAAATATAAACATTATTGCAAACACAATTATAACACGTGTCATATTAACTTGTTAAAACCTTTTCAGCCGATAATGATTCATTTAATACCCATAAAAGTTAAGTTATTTTTAGTTAATTAAAAGGTTGACTTATTTTGAGCTAATTGTAAAAAGGTTGGCTTACTTTTGACAAATTTTTCATATATTTATAGAAGAGAGGATAAATGTGTGGTATATCTAAGTAAAAGATAGAAAAGGAAAGGATATTCATTGATGTTGGAAAGATAAAGAGAAGAGGATGAGGAAAAGGATTGAGATAGTTGGTAATGATGTAGAGGAAAGAGAGTGTGATGTGTCAAATAGAGAAGATGAGAGATAATGTGGGAAAAGAAAGTTGTTTCCTTAACAATATTTATGCTCTAATACCTTACTTATTTTGGCTTTTGCGCTATATAAATATAGGAAAATTGGCTTAAAATAATATCAACTATTAACGGTGTGTGTAAAATAATATGAACTTTACTATTTGCTATTAACACACCACCTTTTGTACTATATGTACAAAATAGTATGTCAGTCATCGGAAAAATATCGCAAGGAATATTCCATCTATATTTATTATTATTGTTTATTGTTGTTATTAATTTTCTGTTTTTTTTTTCAAAATACATATTATGTTAATAATTTCATTTACAGTACAATCCAAATTAATAATACCCCACCCCTTTGTTAGGCTTTTTTTTTTTTTTGTATTATCAATATGTATTTAAATATTTTTTTTTCAAAACACTTGTAATAATTTTTATTACCACACAATAGTAAATAGGGTATTTAAATCCATTATTATATTGATATAATTACTTTCAAAATTTTAAAAATCCAAAAATTTCCCCACATTATTTTGGTTGGTAAATTTGGGGAAATTTTGGGTTTCTAAAACTGATTATATCAATATAATAATGCATTTAAATACCCTATATACTATTGTGTGATAGTAAAAATTACTACAAGTATTTTGAAGAAAAAAAATGTTAAGCACATATAGACAATTCGGAAAAAAAAAAAAAAAAAAAAAAAAAAAAAAAAAAAAAAAAGCCTAACAAAGGGGTGGGGAATTGTTAACATAATATGTATTTTGAAAAGTAAACATAAAATTAATTAAAAATAAATAAAATAATAATAAATATAGACAGAATATTCCTCGAAATACTTTTTCGGTGACCAGCGTATTATTTTGTACATATAGTACAAAAGGTGGTATCGCTAATAGCAATTAGTTGAGTTTGTATTATTTTACACACCATTGATAGTTGGTATTATTTTAAGCCAATTTTCCTATAAACATATGTGGTATTGTGACGAGGAACAAGTCCCTATCCTTATTTGAATCCCACAAAATCAATTTACAAGTCTACCCTTATTGTCCCCCCTAAACAAACGCCATGTGAAGTCCTTAAAGGCTTAAATTAAAGCCAAGACTTTATGTAGGTTCAAATATTCAAGTTGTAATACTTCAATATATTATCATGCAATGAATGATTTTCATTGAAGCCATGTTTGTACGTTCTTAAAGCCATGTTTGTAGGTAGTTTCAAGTAATCAAATCGTAATACTCCCTCCGTTTTTAAATACTTGCTCCACTTTTTATTTTCGGGCGTTTTTTACTTGCTTCATTTCCTTATTTGGAAAACTTTTACAATATTTAATTTCTTTCTCTTAACTAGTGGATCCAACATAAATCATATTTTATTAATTTTCTATTCTCTCTTCTCTAATTCTCTCAACTACTTTTACTTTTTACAATTTTTTATTCATCCACTTATCCCACTACCTCCATATTTTATTATTTTCTCCAATTTCTCCTAAAAAACTCCATACATGGAGAAATGGAGCAAGTATTTAAAAACGGAGAAAATACTTCAATATGCAACAAATGATCTTCATTGATGTTCGTAGGCCGGGGCTACCCCCTTTCGCTCTAAAATGTATACAAGCTAGCTATTAGATTTGTGCTCGATCACAAATGGCATGATGCACAAATCAAAACAATCCAATGATCAAATACATATGTATGAATCATAAACAAGAAAATCCTCAACAAACAATTAAAAGACATACCATGAGCAGCAACAGAGGACCATTGAACTATAGTGGGGGTGATGAAAGCCCATACGAAGATTATCAATGCAAATGCACTCTTAGTCTTCCTCATTTAGTTTGTAAGAAGAGAAATATATTAGAGAAGAGTTTATGCTTAATGCTTCTACTTTAGAAATTATACCTACCTCAATAATCAAAAGTCAAAGGTTTCTAAGCAATAAGCTAAGTATATATAATATGAAATAATATTGAAAGTAGTTGCCCATGTCTAAAGGTTACGTTAATTCTAAAATTAAAAAAGACCCATATGATTAACCAAATGTCATTTGTGTTGATTAAATGCGTTGTCATTACTAAATTATACTAAATGATCAAAACTTTAGTATTTTACCCCGTTTGATGGTTTATTTTATTGTAATTACATGTATTTTATAAGTAGTTTGTTGTTGGTAATTATTGTTAAAAAAAATAATAATAAATAAATAAATAATAAATAATTAGTTGTTGGTATACCTTGATTATTTCCTTAGTTTTATTTTAGACTTGTTTAGTTTTTAGAGGTCATGGTTTCAAGCTAAGTAGACTTGGCAATTCTAACCCGATCCGTGACTCGAAATTGACCCAAAACGCAAATCCGAAATTGACCCGAACACGAAACTGACCTGACCCGACTCATACCCGACCCGAAGTGGAGTTGACCCGAATTTGACCCGATACCTGAATTGACCCGACCTAAATCAACCCAATTCGAAGTTAACCCGATACCCGAATTGACCCGACCCAAAGTTGACCCGATACACGAAACGACCCGATCCGAAGTGACGCGAAACCCGAAGCGAAATGACCCGATCTTGACCCGAAACCCGAAGCAACCCAAAATGACCCGACCCAAAATTAACTAATACTTAAAATGACCTAACTGATTTAGGGCTTAATTACTTTACCCGAATAAACACTTATCGAAAATAACCTAAACATCGTATTCTTGTGTGTATAGTGCTGTTGGAATGTGCGTGTAATTTAGTACTCTTAATTCATAAAGAGTTCCACTTGATTAGGAACACTTGTTATTGTTATTATTACTATTACTCTTAGCTTCTTCTTTTAACTGTTACTCCTTCTGTCCTAGAATGCTTGACACATTTTTCATTTTCGTCCGTCCCAAAATACTTGACATGTTACTAAATATGGAATAGGACCATTAATAAAAAAATATTTTCCTATATTCTCCTTGGGACCACAAACCCACAAAACCCAATCAAATCCTACATTTTCTTTTCCTCACTACCCCCACTTCCCCCACGTTTTGTTTTCTTACAATATAAAAATACAAAAGAGAATCCTTTATATAATAAACAAATGTTTTAAATGAATCCACTTATAGTTTTCTTAAACTACGTGTCCACCCCAACGTCTAAGTATTTTGGGACGGAGGGAGTACATTGAATTTTTTCTTCCACTATTCACTTTATCTAATTGGAATTTTTGACCAATTAATTAATGATAGTGATTATACATATGAAAAAATGAAGTCTTGTGAGTATAGTACAGTTGGAATTGTATAATGAATATTTTATTAATATTCAATTGTTATACTTTATACTTATTGATAATGATAATATATTATTGGTCAAATTTCTACATCGACTTAGACGAAGATTGACCCGACCCGAATTTGACCGGACCCAAATTTGACCCGAAAAATGGACCCGAAGAATGACCCGACCCGAATTGACCCGACCCGAACTCAACTCAACCCAACCCGAAGAGTTGACCAATACCCGACCCGACCCGAATTATCATTGACTCGAAACCCCAATTGACCCGACCCGAACCCGAACCCGACCCGAATATTGGTTGACCCGAAATTGACCCGACCCGTAACTGACACGAACGACCCGTTTTCCAGGTCTAGTTTCAAGCAGTGGAGGATCCAGGATTTCCGAGCCGGTAAGTCACCCTGAATTATTGATCCAACGCCACCGATGCCTACTTCTCTGCCTAAGAGCCTCACTAACATAATAAGGTGATTCCCACCCAACACCGTTTTTCGATTCGCTTGATAACGGCCCCGTTTTCGGGCCTATCACGGGTGACGAGGGAGACCTAGGTCCTAAATTAATTTCAAATTCATCAAATCTTCTATTTGATCAGTCATTACTTCTCAAATAAACACCAATTGGGGAAAATTATAAACCCTACTCTAACCCCCTAATTGTACCCAAAATTCAATCAAAAATCTCAATTAATTTCAACAACACATAGCATCTCAAATCTCCTACCAACTCAGGTAAAAACCAAAATTCTATACAAACCCTAATTTTTTTTCCATCAATCAAGAATGACCCAAAAAACCGAATTACGACCAATCAAGAAAACCCCAGATAGATAAACATGTTTCATAAATGCGGTTTTGGACACAGTTTCGATCAGGATTGCGATAACGATTACGGTGTTACGTAACGGAATTGATACGGTTATCGCGGATATGGTGACCAAATTTTAGTTTTATAATTTTATATATTTATTAATATAATTACTCGTGAATTTTAGAAATTAAATTTTTCTTATAGTAAAAAGTTTATTTTTTAACTTTAAATACTATTGCTTTGGCATTAAAAAATGCAACTGGTTAATAGTAGTATTCAAAAGGTCAAAAGTAAAAAACTAATGGTATATAAAATACACATGTCCTATACCCACTTCCCTTACCCCCACCTTCCCAACAGCTCACATTCTACTCAAAATATCAAATATCACCACTACTTAATACCAGGCACTAGCTACCCTTTTCTTTCTCTTCTCCGTGCCACTCTCTCTCCTCCTCTTTTCTTTACTCTCTCTGTATTTCAATGGAGTCCAAGAAAAAATTGCGAATTCATGCAATGGAGTCCAAGAAAAGTCAGTGACTCAGTGGTTTGCTTCGTCGCTTCATGCGTTTTTGTTTTTTTTTTCTTTAATTAAACTCCTTTTTTTTTTTTTTTTTTTTTTTTTTTTTTTTTTTTTTTTTTTTTACTGCTGAATCACGTGCACCACAGTGCAACAATGTAGATCTGCCCCTGGTTTCAAGGCTTGCGACTTTTACAAGTTTGGAGAACTAGTTTATAGTAACTTAGTCATTTTATTAAGGAGTGTTCAATTCTAATCACTTGAGCTTCACTTATTTGAACTTAACTTATTTTATCTGGACTAACATGAACTTATCTAAATAAATTGGACCTTATCAAAACTTATTTCAGTTGTAATTAGAACTTATACATCCCTTGTTAGAACTTATTTTAATTTCTTGAATTTATCTTATATGAATTTAACTAAACTTATCTCTTTTTTTTTTTTTTTTTTTTTTTTTTTTTTTAGGAAAACTAAACTTATCCCATATGAACTTATCAAAACTTATTAGACTTAAAATAAGTAAAATTAGGTAAACAAAACAGAACCTTAGATTAGTCATCTATATACATAAAGTTTTCGTAAACTAGATTTGGGTATAGATGGGTAGAGCTAGTCCACACATTAACATTTTGTGATACCTAACTAGACCTGGCAAATGGGTCATTCGGGTCAGGTATGGGTCGGGTTATTTTGGGTCAGGTCAAGTTCAGGTCAAATAGTTATCGGGTCAAGTTCGGGTCGGGTCGGGTCATTTTGGGTTGATTTCGGGTCGACTGATAACCGGGTCGGGTCGGGTATTGGGTCAACACTTCGGGTCGAGTTTGGGTCGGGTCAGTTCGGGTCAGTTCGGGTCGGGTTAATTTTCGATTCGGGTCAGTCGGGTCAGGTCAATATTCGGGTGCAAATTTTGGGTCAACTTCGGGTCGGGTAAACTTCGGGCGGGTCATATTCAGGTCGATGCATTGGGTTAAATTCAACCCTGTATATATATTTATTTATTTTTTGACGAGAAACTCACTATATTTATTAAGATTAGACTTTTATTGACCTTGTTTTTTTTTTTTGGTGTTTAGATTAAGAATCAATTTCAGGATCTCCTGAAACTAAGAGGGATGCTCTAACTAATTGAGTTATACCTCACTCTCTTCTTATTGATCTTAGTTTTAATACTCTTATTATCATTGTCACTGTTCACCATTGTAATAATTTCTTTGTATTATTCTATAATATAATCTATGTTTTTTAAGTGCTCTATTAATTTTAACTGGACATACATTGATACATGTATGCAGGCATGTCGTGCAGGAAATTGATCAATAATAGACTTCCTATTATAATTATCAATAATTTACATTATAGAATTTTACCAATTGAATATTCTTAAAATATTTATTGTGGTGGCGATTTCAACAAGTACACACAATGACACAAAGTGACAAGACTATATTTTTTCTAATAAAGACTTAAAGAGTGGTAGCGTGGATGGACGCCAAGTACACTTACTTGCTCTGTGAACTTTTCTTAATCGTTTCAATCAGATATATGTTATGACATGCTTCGTTTGAAATTAAATTTACTGATAAATTGCAAATTAAGAGGTCAAACCAGCCAACATATACTCAATTTTATTTTTTTGACCGATTCAATCAAAAATAGGTTATAACATGCTTCATTTGATAAAAAATTTATTGTTAAGTAGGAATTCAAACAAGTCAACTAAAACTCAGTTGTAATTAGTTCTGAAAATTACAAGCTTTAATGTATAATAATATATGTGATCAAGTACTTAAACATAAGGGTGGAAAAAGACACAAAATTTTATTATAAAGTTGATTAACAACATTATTGTAAACCTATCCGATTCCAATTAATTTTTTTCAAACGAAACTCATAACAAGGTTTTTCCTATTCAAGGTAATTTGATCTTTAATTCAAACTTGATAAGATTAGATTAAAGCTTTTCCGGGCTACTTAATAGCTCAGTCTCCAACTGTCCAGTCTAAATTACTTCATAGGATGTCTCATCACTATTAGTCTATTATGAACTAATGAATTATGAAGTATTGCAGATATGCAAATATGCTTGTATCTATTTACTACTCAATTAAACAACTAAACTAATGCAATAAATGAATATTACTCTTTTGAAAGTAAGTATTTTATTATATTTGTTTAAAATATGTATATTCATATTCCTACATTTTTAAGAGCTGTACATTCTTGTTTCTTTATTTTGGCATTTATAGTGTATTTGCTTATATTATTGTTTTTATATTTATGTAGCAAATGAGGATGATGGATTTTTTGGTTCTTATGTGGTTTGGGCGGCGGCTCCAAGTGTTAATTGTCAACAATTTTAAGAGTCGAATATTGGAGTATAATTATTTAGAATATTTTGTAATTTCATTTGGTATTGAACATTATGTTATGTACGCATTATTATTGTACTATTTTTTTTTTCTAGACTTGTGAGAATTGTGACTTTTATTTCAAGCTTTAGTAAATTTTTTCTTAATCTTATGGACAAACTCCGTAGAATAGTCGTTACATTTCAATCTTTGTACGAATTTTTAATAACTTATAATGAGAAAAGGTTGAAGAAATCGAGAAAAGTAATGCTCAAAATATGTAAATTACTTGCACTGTTACACATTACAAATTCATAAAAAAAAAATTAAGTCAATTTGATTGCGGTTATTTTCTATTTCGGTTTGCTCAGGTCAAATCGTTAGCTTAAATAGATTTTGGTCATTTCAGGTACAAGGTAATTTTAGTTCGAGTCACTTTGGGTTTCGAGTCTATTTGGGTCAATTAATTCAAGTTAAAGGTCGGGTCACTTTGGGTATCGGGTCAACTTCGGGTCTCGGGTCAACTTCAGGTCGGGTCGTTTCGGGTCGGGTCATTTCGAGTTTCGGGTCAAGGTCGGGTCAATTCCACTTTGGGTCGGGTTGATTTCGGATTTCGGATTTCGGGTCAATATCAGATCACTGTTTTCGAGTCGCGGGTCGGGTCATCAGGTCTGGATCAGGATTGCCAAGTCTACACCTAACTAGAGAACATAATGGTTGTAGTGCGGAATCACATGAATTAAGGCCAACAACAGGTGCCATATACTCACATTGCAGTTGAGCATAAGCCAGATGCAACACATTTTCACATAAGATTACTAAATCACAAGCAGAACTTTATTTTTATGAAATTCCACAAGTCACATAAACGTGCATCTGTGCAAGTATTTGACAAATCACTCAAACCATAGCTCATTATATTTCATACAGCCCTTTTTACTGCACGTGATAGTGTAATACTCAGATCAGGTTATCGTAACTCTCTACGATCTTCACTTTATGTGCTTCTGAAACCATCCCAACATATCCTGGTGAGCTTCCTCCGCAGCCTTGACTACTGCAGCATCTTCAGGTTTGTATCTGACTGTCCATCCATGGGAAACTCCGGGGAAAATCTTGATGAATTTGTCCACCTATATATAACAAGCAAGAAACATCAGACTTATGTAGAGCATAGAGTCAACAAAATTTTTCTAGCTAGTATTATCGTCTCAAGTCCAAAATACCAGTAAAAGAAATTCTAGCAGATAATCAAGAATTCAATATACATGTAGGCCCTCTTTTTTAAAATTTGATGGATGATGACCTTTTTGTGAGCAAGTGTGAGCAGGGAGGCCACAAATAAGGAAGAATAAGCAACAAATGAGTTACACTTATTTTGCTGAGGATATACAATTAACACCACTAAACTTGCTCAAAACCAAAAACACCAATTATGCTTTCATTGTGTCTAACTTTTGTCACTCAAAGCACCAATTATATACTTCCTATGTTCCCTTAAAATTGCAACAAGGGAGGTAGGCACAGGTTTTAAGACGATGAGGGAGATAGAGAGAGCTAAAAACATAAACTCATTTGATGAGGAGAGAGAGAGAAAGCATATGCAAAAAAGGAAAGGTTGCAAACTTGCAACATTTGAGAAACATCCTAAAATGGTAATTGTCGCAATATTAAGGGAACGGCGGAAGTAATTTATAAGTCAAATAAAAAGTTCAACAATATAAAGAATGAGAGTATCCATACCTCCGGCTTGGCATTCAAGGCCTCCTCAAATTGCTTCATGAGCTCAGGTGGAGACATGTGATCAACCTCAGCCCCAAGAACAGTAATAGGTACCTTCACACCTATTGCAAAGTACCAAACAAATTCAGTCACTGTAAATTTTCAAGGTTTAATTGACCCAATATTTACATACAGATGAAAACCAAGATCACAATAAAACTTTAAATCCCCTGGTGTTAAATGCAAAACAATTATATATTTAAAGAACCTCTCCTCTTTCAATGACAAAAAATAAGATAAAACAATTTAGAAACAAAAACATCTGTTTGTATTATGCTTGCCCACTTCTGAAACTTAACATTGGCCATCACAACAGTTTTCTCTATTTCAAGTCTACAAATAGATAATGACATCCATTCAGCCATTCTATTTGTCTCTTTTTGATTCAAGCTCCTTCATCCTGCTTTTTTTTTTTTGGCTCTTTCCCTAGATTGACTCCATTCTCCCCTCAAGAACTATCTGCCATGTCACTATAACTATCATAAAGCTATGCTGTGAGTACTTTTTTTTTTTTTTTTTTTGGGGGGGGGGGGGGGGGGGGGGAGGGGTGGGTGGGGAGGACAAGGAAAATTTTTACAAGAATGTGCAACACTTGAGTTCATGGAAGGGAAATTTTCAAGGTTTAAATGCTCAAATCAACCAACAAGAGCAGTCTAAAAGCCATTTCATGGGAGCACAAAAAGCCAATATGATGAAGTAATTATGGAGAACCAAATATAGTATAGTTGCACCATGAAACTGCAAAGAAAGGGGCACACAAGCAGTGGCAGTTGCTAGTGTGGGTATGGAATAGATAGAAGTGTCGGACCCATTTGAGGTTCATCTTGTTATTCATTTGAGTGGTAAAAAAGAAACCGCAAGAGAAATATAATAGGATGATGCCAAGTACACAATCCCTACTTGGATTGATAATGCACACACAAACATACAGATACTTATTCAAAGTATACATTCACACATGATTATAAAGTACTTGTATACAATTAAGGAGGGAGTTTGCGAACATCTTGTGAAAAGGCTGAGAAGGGATTTAACCAACCCTCTTTCAAAACTAAGGGATGTGATATACTTTCATCAATGGGGATCTTTGTAACTGAAGGAGCGGGTGTCCAATATTGAAGATTCAAAGACTACCCTTAATTCTAAAACTAAATGATGTAAGCACCGACGCACCATTTCCATCTAACAACCCCTTCATTATGGTATACCATAAACACAATAATATAAATGAAGATACAGCGTCACAAGATAAACATACAGCATGCTTAATTGAACCTTACCTTTAATATCATCCACAGTAACAAATGAAGGGTGTAGGAGCGCTGCTGCTTGTATATATTCATCCGTTTGTGCTAGTTGCACAACCACTTTGGCTAAATTGAGTCAATGATTAAGATCACAAGGAGAAAGAAAAAACAAGTGAGTAAACAACTAAAAATTCTGGCATGCACAGAGATTAGAAGATTAAATTACAAATACTAGTCACCTATGTGTAAAAGGCATTGCAAATGAAAGAAAAGATGTAATCTTACCTCCCCAACAAAAGCCAACTGCTCCTATCTTAGATATACCTTTCTGCTTCAGAGATTCAATTACCGGCTTAGCCTCTTCACATCCTTTGTCCTAAAAGAAATAAATTGATATGCATAAAAATCAAAGCCATACCAACAAACACTATACAAAAATTTTAATCCCTTTACCAGTGATTATAGTCGTTTATACTATTTTGGAATGTCTATAAAACTTGTCACTTATCCTAAACTAATAATGGTTTATAATTGGATATGTTTAAGTGACACAACTTACATAGTGACATAATAATCTAACTATTATAAGGAATCTAGACAACAATCATGTTATATCCTAATTATAGAGGTTGGAATAATGTGGCAATAATTTCCTAATAGATTAAGTGTAAAATCAAGACTAAACAAGAATTGCTCTCTAACCATGCTATCATGAATGCAACTTTAAGAAATGATTAGACATTAGTAAAAATATATTAATAAATAGCACTCTATCTGAGAGTTAGGCTTATAAGCTACTGGCTACATCCTTTTAATTACGAGTTCATAGCTGGCCAATCCATATTAAATGAACAAATCAGCCGAAAACAAATCATAGAACATACAGAGGCTATTCTAAAATTTTCTGAACTTCCATCACTTACACCAGAATAAAACACAAACTTACCGTCCCATGGTCCTTTATCCAAGCTTGGATTGGTCTCTCGGTGTTCTCGGGATTGTAAGGATCCCCGTGGAGGAAATCAGGGACAACAGCATAGTAACCAGCAGAAGCAACTTTGTCTGCGAGCTTCCTGTAGGAATATGCTGTTGATATCAGTGTTCAATGGTGGAAAAAGTACACATTAAGAATCGGCACCAGTTACACCAACATGCTGCAATTGGGGGGGGGGGGTGGTAATGGGTATCATACTCCAAAATACTTTTCAAACTGAAATATGGCTCCATGAAGTTGCATGTGAGGTTGAAGCAGGCCAAACTAACATGTATTTTCCGATAACAAATAAACACAGAACTCACATAATTTAAGACTGCCCAAACACTATTAATATCAGGAAAAAAATCAGAAAGAAAGCAAACGATTCACAGGTACCCTTTCCAAACACTATATATGCACAATCAAATCCAAGAAACTTACGGAGTATAAATTTAGGAAGAATAAAATAAACAATTGAGGGCAACACAAATACAGGGAAGAACTTGTTTTGAAGAATATGTATGGTTAATTTCTGTATAGAAGCTTAAAACAGCCATGTGTCTCAAACCTGCACAAGATAATTTACCATAGCTTAACACTTTACAGCAGGTGTTGCATACATCCAACAGAGTATAAGATACATGCTCCAAGACTCCAAGTATGCATTTCATGGGTAATAACCATTTCTAAGGATAACTGTTAGGTTGATACAAAATAATCCCACAAATTTCTATATCCCCCACTTTTAAGTACCATAAAAAAAACTTTACTTTTTCACCATTTACACTGAGTGTTTCTTGCCTTCTTGGTGACTTGGTTGACAACAAAAATTGAGATATTGGAAAATGTTATATTGGGTAATTTTTTAGTTGATAAAGCAAAATAAAAATAGGCGTCAGATTTTGAATCACCCACAAAGCATAGGAAATAAATTACCAAACCTCCTTGGTCAATCAAATTTTATGCTCCTATGTTGTCAACTGAGCATGTCAAAAAATTTCTCTGGAATTTAATTAGGGAAATAGCTTCCCACACAACTTCCTATGGAAAATTCCCATGACAACCAAACAAGCACTTACAAGTAACTTTTTTAGACTACACACTAATCATAGAAAATACGGAGGACCGATTAATATGAGTATGACAAAACTAATTAGGATTATAACTACATGACAAACCCAATAAGCCTAAAAAAAGAAACACAAACCAAACATGAATGTATTTCCCAAAAGAAGCCATTCTTTTGACTATGTACTAATCAATCATTCACTAAGATTCAAAAAAGGCAATTTAACCTCATTCCAACACTTTGGAGAAAATTCACCACGGATGATGTTATCTTTGTACTGATCAATCATTCACTACAATTTAAACATAATTTAACACCTAGAAATTAATAATTGATCAATCTTCCCAAATTTGAAAACATAAATAAATCATCACCAAACAACTAGAAATTACTAATTAAGCCAAATAATAAAATTTCATTTATTATACCTCAAATTTGGAGCTTCAAATCCTGCAAAAACAAATAAGAAATGATTACTACCCTCAAAAATTTTGATAACAAATTCCACTACATATTTTTAAAACAAACAATTATAAGATCAAATCACCGAAACAACAATAAAATGAAAAGGGCATAAAAAAAAAAAAGTTACCATAAACATCAGAGATGAAAAGAACAGCAAACTTGCAATCAGAAGTGCCAGAAACATATGATTTAAGACCACCAATTTCTTCAACATGCCCAGTTCCACTGCTTGGGTTTAAAGCAGGGGGATTTTCGCAGCATTGTGGCCCTGACATTTTTCGATTGTTTTTGTATTGAATGCAGAAAATTTGAGAGAGAATTCAGAGAAATATCTGGGTTTGTAGTAATGGTGTTTGAGTTGGGCTGTTGAGGAAATATATGGAGGATATTAAGTTGGATAATTCAAATATTCGGTCCCTTTCTAGAAAGACCTTGTGTTTGATTCTTGTTAAACAAGACAGACAAATGGCCCAAATGTAAATTGTAAATTCAACAATGTAATGCCCCATTTTGACTTTATGTAGTTCCTTCGTTAATTGGACGAACTCGCGTGTTATAACTAGTGATATTAGAAAAACTATTTTATTTTGTCTTTATATTACAAGTTTAGTTGTTGGTAGCATTAATGAAAGAAAATAGGTAAACAAATATTCCATATTTTTAGGGTATAAATATACGTATATTATTTTAAAGAGTTTAAAAAAGAGATAATAAACATTATTGAGGCAAATAAATAAATGAACATTTTAGAGAGTATTATTATCCAAACACTATTTATAAGAATTTTCTCAAACTTTTTACAAAGTATGAATAGACTATACTCGTACTTGTTTGTCGATGAACTTCTTTAAATCATCAATATCTTTAATCATGCTTTTAAAAAAAATTAAGAACTATATTTTGAAAATACATATTGCGATTTGATTTGGGTATTTTTACCCAGCCACGTGGTCCAGTCAGAGCGTGACATGTGTCACTCTAGGGAGAGTCCAAAGTAGATCTACCAGGGCATGACACATGGCAGGCAGATACCCCAAAGGAAATGGCGGCCTTCAGGGCCCATTTCCCAAGAGAGCCACAAAACGGCACAACCCACCAAACATAGGTTAGAGTGACCTAGGTAAGGGCACAATTTCCAATGACCCTATAAATAGAGAGATTTACCCCATTTTGGGGACACGTTCATTTATTACCTACAATCAATTCTCTCACAACAGAGAAAACACCTGATCTCGGGATCCGAGAAAATATTTTACTTTCCACCTTTTTACTCCAAACACTTTCTAACTTGATCGTCGGAGGCGGAATTCCAACTATACGAAGCTTCCGTTATTTTGCAGGTACAGCTGGCGGGGAATCAGGCTTAGTGACATAACTCTCCCGCAGGACACAAAAAACCCCAAAACATTTGGCGCCGTATGTGGGGAGGGTACCTCTAAGATCGTTTCTCAAGAGACTATACCGCCTCCTATAGAAAAGTAGCCTACGGCTAAGGTCTTGATGCAAATTCTAATTATGTATATACCTGTGATTAATTTGCTCCCCAATATTACAAATGTAAAATTGGATCATTACAGGGTCATTGAAAAGGCGAAGGCCATGACCAGGAAAGAGACACACAAAAGCACGCAATCAGCAACGCTGAGTACATACAAGCTACGAATTATAACAAAGAATCTCTAGCATGTTACTAGAAATCAATTAGCACACACAATTTAATTATTAACCCAAACACATGCCTCAACTGTTAACATTACTAAGACTTCACTAATTACTAACAATAATTCATTTCATTTCATTCATTGATTGGATTAAGCAATAGAAAAGGTTGTCTCCCCATGCTCCGAGCCGTTTTGGAACATCAATAAAAGAAAAACCCCATGCCTCCTTTCGAAAACATCAATAAACATCCAATGACAGACGGGCGCGACTCCGTGGCCATAGGTAGTATGAGATCTCATCTAACTCCTTATAGTTTAAAAAAAAATATTCGAAAACAAGAGACTCGTAGATCAGACGGCCTCTAGAAAGTACACGGCTAATACCCCGTCAACCCCAACCCCTGATTGTCAATACTCTAGATGTGCACAAATCCAGAGTTTTATTGATCATCCTTCTTGCACTTTACGTGATTTACCAGTTTAAACTTGGTGATGACTAAAATGCAAAAAAATACTACCAATCATACATCAATCATTCAAACAATTCAGATTTCCAATTCAATTCTTGATTTATTAGTGACAAACAATATTTAGTATTGAATCCTTTAACTACCTCGGTGTATAAACACCTTAAGTGCATAAGGCACCTCAATCCTCAACCTCGTCTTATAAGACTTTAATTCTCCCTTTATTCATTCGATTTCAATAATCATGAACGAGTAATAAAATAATTCATTCCACATATTCACGTACCTTTACCTCTAAGCTCATCTTGCAAGTTAATGCATAAATGATACTTACAAGATAAATTAATTAATACGCATTTCTCATACATGAAACAAAACCAATCATCACATTAACGCCAATCAAACTTACTACCATACAATTCCAACCAATCCACAAGTTTCCTAACATGATTCTAAAGTTTTTCAATTCCTTAAACATGCTTCTAAAGTCAAGGTTTTCGTATTCTTGTACGTACCTTGAGTAAACGAGTTGGTTGGCCACTTTAGGGACTAAAAATCGCCTTCTACAAAGTCCTCTCCAAATCAAACAAAAATAATTCAATCAATACCCAAACAATATAATTTACAGCAATACTAACTTACTTCAAAACCCCTTAAACCATTGAAATAATCCTTTTAATTACTCACAATATTCAAAGTTAATTATTCAATAGTTCAACTATAATTTTATATGTTAAAATCATGAAAATATAGCTTATAACATAAAATTCCAGCAACTTTAAAGTAAGGATTATAATCTGGAAATTTAGTTTTAGATTATAAAACAACCTCATAAACATCCCTACTTGAAATAATCATTATATAGTAGGTTAGTATGTTAAAAACCTAAAAATCCATCATAAAACCATGATTATAAAACCTTTAAAACCAAGATTAAAAATCTAAAAATTTAATGCAATAGTAGGATGTATGAATACAACAATCTAAACTTGAAATATATAATTAGAATTCAATTAGTTTCATAAAAACTCAATCAAACCTTCAAAATTCAATTAAACAAACTTTAAAACCTTCCTTTTTGCTAGAATTAAAATTTTATATATTATTCTTAAAATTTCCTACATAAAAACCTTAAAATACATACTTATTATGAATTTACAGCAAGTTTAGAGCTTTATAAAAATCTAAAAATTTATTTTAAACATTAAACCTTCGTTAAAAATCAAAAACTGCCCAAGAACCATATTTAGAGGCTGAATTTGGCCACAAGAGGGTGTTTGGTAGTGAGTTTTGATTAAACGTCGTTTACACACGAAAAACACTATTTTTTTGTAAAAATCGGACGAGTTAGAATCTAAACGTGATAAAAAAAATAATTAAGAACGGAGATCAAAGTTGATTACGGAAAACTGATAATTTGTTTTTGAATTAAACATCATCATGATCATAGTAGAATTACAATATAACCATGCTTTAATTAAATAACATGTAGAACACGGTTTAAAACCCCAAAACATGAAAACTAACATTTTTAAGCCCTAATATTATGAACGAAATTTCTGAAATTTTAAAGTGTATAATAAGATTCATTATACTCATAATTTAAGATAAATTATAACATGATTAAACCATTAAAATCAATTAACAACATCATAAAAATAATTATCAAACAATGAAGGAATAGGGCAAAATAAGAAGGAAGGAAGAAAGAAAAAGAGAAGAAGAAGAAGAAAAGGAAAAAAAATGAAGGGAAAATAAAATAAAGAAAATAAAGGGAAAAGAAATAAAGACTAACCTTTTTGTGTGGGGGGAAATTTGGGGATTCATGGGGTATTTATAGGAGAGAATTTTAGGGTAGAATTGGCCTCATGAAAATAATGGGCCAATTAAATAAACAAATGGGTTAGGCTTTGTTTTTATGATAATGGGTTGTAGGATATAGGTTCATTAAATAATTTAGCCTAAAATATTTCTTTGATCCAATTAATAATTTGAAACTTTTAAAACTAAATTTTGGAAAAATACAAATAAATATTATAAATAAAATAACATTTCATTTATAAAATATTTAAAAATACGGGGGAACACTTTGATTGATTGGTCCAAGTTCCAATTCCCAACACAGGGAAAGAGAAAGGCCATCCGGCATACTGTGCCGGATGGTAGTAAGAAGACTTACTCTGATGCTCAATTTTTCATTGAGCAAAAGAGAAACCAGCAACTGTTTGACTCGGCTTCAACGTCGACTTTCCCAGACAGCTTTAAAAATACCTCCATGAGGTATTCCCAATCGGTATAGGAGAACCAGTCAGGCAGCCCCTCCGTCCATTATGGTTCTCAGATGATCGGCTCAGTCCCGTATGTGCCCCAACAGCCATACAGGAAGGGGTGTACAAAAACTGGACCGGACCTGAAACCTGACCCGGACCGGACGTGACCCGGACCTGTTGATTCAGGTCCGGTCCTAGTCCTTGAAAATCAAGGTTCCCGGTTCCGGTCCGGACCCGGTCTAAAACCGGGGGTTTCAGGTCCGGACCTGAAACCTGGTTAAATTGCATTAAAAAAAATCAAAATAAAAAACGCAGCTCTACTTCATTTTTTATTTTCTTTTCTAATCGTAACTCGCTGCTTGCCTCCTATCCTCCCTCACTCTCACTCTCTCAGGCCGTCAGGCGGCACCTCCCTGCCTTCCTCACTCTCTCAGGCGACGCCCACCGCCCAAGGCTTGCTACATCAGCCAAACAACCACCGCGAATCTCCGGTAAGTTTTTGCATGTTTAATTTATTCTTTATTCTTTTGTTCTTGTCCGAAATTCCTAATTATGGTGTTCATGTTCTTGTTTAATTTTTTTTCGAATTTATATATGTGGTTTTTATTTCGTTCGATTTTATTTATGTGGGTTTGATTTTTGTTCGAATTTATATATGTGGGTTTTATTTTTGTTCGATTTTTTTGGTCGAATTTTTGTTCATTCTGGGTTTACATATTCGAATTTATATATGTTTAATTTTTGGAAGTATGCTTAATTTATATATGTGGGTCGAATTTTTGTTCATTTTGGTCGAATTTTATTTATGTTCAGAAATTATATTCGAATTTATATACGTATTCGAATTTATATATGTTTAATTTTAATATTGTGGGTCGAATTTTGTTCATTCTGGATTTGTTCGATTTACGTATAATCGTATATATTACTCTGATTAGTATAATTGTGGTATCTTGTCTAGAAGAAAAATTCAGGACTTTAGAATTTCGGCTATGTTTACTGCAAGAAGTTGCATATTCAATTTAGTACGGCATTTCGCTTTTGCTTCTT